GGTCATACAGCTGCTCTTCTTTGTCTTTTGAATTCTTTGTTATGAAAGATAGCTCTCTGGGAGGGTTATGGGGAGAGGTAAGGGTAATTCTAGTTGACATAAAAACAAAAGATATCAATAAAGTCTATTAAAAATAATTAAATGGGGGGCAGCTAGGTGGCGCAGTAGATAGAGCACTGGCCCTGGAGTCAGGAGGGCCTCAATTCAAATCCAGCCTCAGACACATAACACTAGCTGTGTGACCCTGGATAAGTCACTTAACCCCAATTGTCTCAGATTTTAAAAAAATAATAATAATCAAATGGAAACAAAATAAGTTGATGAGTGAATGAATACATTGATGTTCTAGGCCTTCTACAATCTGGTCCTTTTTGCCTTTCTAAGTTTATACTGTTCTCTGTATAATATCCTAGGTCCCTGCCTCAAATGTAATTGCTCCTGAACACGTACATCACTTTTATTCAGTCAAACACTAAGTGCCTACCATGTGTCAGCCATTGATGAACTTCTCTTGCCAGTGTTTTTTTACCCCATTCCTTAGATCCTTAATATGCCTTCCTCAGCCCTGCCTAACATTCCTGTGCCCCACCCCAATTTGGAAGGGATCTCTCCCATCAAAATACTACCTTTCTTTTATACCTCCTCTGTGCCCTAATCAAATTAAATATTTTTTTAATGTAATTATATCTCCTAATAGACCTTCCAACTCTTGAGATTCTGTTAGAGCTTTCTCTGAGCTAGCTGATTAGTACTCACTCAGCAGATGGGAACTTGATTTTGACTATGATGCTTTGTAGTCAGTCAACAAGCTTACCATATAGCAATTCTGGTCGTTTTGCTGTTCTCACAAAGGACTCTACCTTCTGACTCTGCCTATGCCTTTCATTTATCTGGTGTCCCATATGCCCAGAATGTCCTGCCTCCTCACCTGTACCTACTTACTGGCTTCCTTCAAGACTCAGGTCGAATCCATGGGATGCCATTGCCAGCACTGTGTACTGCACCATCACCACCCCCCCCACTCCCCCACCACATGCTTTGCCATTTCCCTCTGAAATTACGTCTAACTTACTCTGTATGTTATCTTGTGTAGGCTGCTAGGTGGTACCATAGATAGAGTGCTGAGGCTTGAGTCAGAAAGGCCCAAGTTCAAATCCAGCCTTGGACTAGTCATTGCTGTTTGACCCTAGGCAAATCACTTAACCTCTACCACAGTTTTCTCTTATAGAATGGGGGTAATGATAGCAGCTACCTCAGTGTTGTTAGGAGGATTGTGAGATACAAACTTTGCCAACTTTAGATGATTATGATGGCAGCTCCATCAAGGGGGTGAGTCAGCAGCAAGAGCTGGTTGTTGGAGAAGTAGAAGATTGATAACAAACCTGTAAAAATTAATAAGTTGGATAGATCAGTGGTGAAAAATTCTTTGGATGATTCTGCCAAAAAAGATGCATCTAGAAAAGTACAAGTATGTGGAGAATTTTGGTCTGATCCATGGCTGCCTCATCATCTGTACAATCTCCAGTTCCTTTGCCATTGTGGCTTTGGTCTGGAATACCCATATGCCCCTTTCCAGCAGTCAAGTTAGTCTTTGCCTTTTGTGTCATATTCTGTTTCATCATGATAAGAATCTTCACCATCTACACTTCATAGAAGGAGAAAAGCATTTTCCTTCTTGCACACAGAAGACATCGATCAGAAAGAGATCCTGACAACGTTTGGCTTTTCTCTTCTATTCTTAAACCATTTGATGACAAGTACACCCTGAAGCTGATCTTCATTGGTAGGGAAACCAAGCAGTAGAGGGAAGGAGGATGCTGCTAGCTGTCCCAATGGATAGAGTGCCAGACTCATCTTCCTGAGTTCAAATCTGGCCTCAGACACTAGCTGTGTGACTCTGGGCAAATCACTTAACCCTGTTTGCCTCAATTTCCTCATCTGTAAAATGAGCTGGAGAAGGACATAGCAAACCACTCCACTATCTGCATCTTTGCCAAGAAAATCCCAGATAGGGTCACGAAGAGTCAAACACGACTGAAAAGCAACAACAAAAGAAGGAAGCAGAGTTCACTGAGTCCATTGCCAAGTTTTTTGACAACAATGGGGTGTGCTGGTCATGGAAGCCCACAAGTCTGGGATCTCTAAGCTCCACAACAGCTTCCCCATAGAAAGGAAAAGTAAATAACCCTTTCAGAAGCAGCTTCTTTTTCTGCTGGGATCATGCTAACCACTAAAGGGTTAAATTTTTGTGTATGACTGTAACAGAATACTTGAATAAGGGAAACTAATTCATGCTGACCTACAAGGTTGCAAAACAGAAAAAGGAGGCAATTGAGTTACTGATAAACAGCAGGGTTGTTTTTATAGGCAATCGCTGGACATTTTTGAAAACAGAATGTCTTCGGGATAAGAAAAAGGATTTGCGTCAATATTATGTCAGCAGGAGAACAATGTTTGGGAAAAAGAAACCAGAGTTGTTTGATCAAGGGTTTCAAAGTTGGAGTGATTTAGGGAAATTTCGTAGCCTCTGCATGTACATTTTCAGCCTACATGTATGCATTCTGGCCACCGTATATGACAATCAATAAACTTCTCATTAACTTGAGATAATTTCTGCTTCCTAATTTTTTATGACCTAACACCACAGTTGTTCAGTTGTATCCAACTCTTCGTGATCCTGTTCAGGGTTCTCTTGGCGAAGAAAGATACTGAATCGGTTTGCAGTTTCCTTCTACAGCTCATTTTACAGATAAGGAAACTGAGGCAAATAGGGTTAAGTGACTTGCCCAGGGTCACACAGCTAGTCTGTGTGTCTGAGGTCAGATTTGAACTCATAAAGATGAGTCTCCCCGATTTCAGGCCTGACGCTTTATCCACTGCGACACCTAGCTGTCCCACCACATGTACACACAAAATAAACAACAAAAACCAAAACAGAAGCAAATATCTCACAAACCAGAAACTAAAACAGATGAGAGTAAAATAAAGAATATTTAAAACATCTGTTTTGTCATGAAATTCTGTTCCCTTCTGGATCAATAGGATTTCCTAGAGTGGAAACTAGTTGTTGGGAGCTAATGAAGCTGAGGTCAGCTGCCTTGTGCCAATTTGCCATTGGGGTTGCTTTCAGACCGTTGTGACTGATTGGATTAAAAAACTCGTGATTTATCAAGAATATTTGGAAGGAGTTTTTGCTGGAAACTGTACCTGGCCATGCTTTTACCATACAGAAGTTTCTTGCCCCACCCTCTCTTTTGAATGTTTTAACCTGTTACCTATGATGCCAACTTTGTTTTCCTTGTTATTTACATATATATGTGTGTGTATGTGTGTGGATATGTACCTATGCATATGTTTTTGTGTGTATATCATGTATATACCTATGTGCATAAATTTGTGGATATATGTATATTTGTACATGTGCATGTATGTAGGCATTTATATGTATATGTGTGTATATATATAAAATATATGTGTGTATGTGTATATGTGTTTTTTAAATCCCAGGCCCTGCCTCCTTAAGTGATTTAGAACAAAACCTTTGGGGTACAACAACTTCCAGTCACACACCTACTTTTCTGTAGTTTTGTATTGATTGGATTGAAGTGGAGGGAGATTTTAAAAAGTAATAATGTTCAGTATCCATCACCTTAATTTGCTGAAAGCAGACCCAGGGAAGGAGAGACCTTTCTTCTGGATCTCAGGGTTTGTGCTCTGAATCAATCAAATTCATCAATGGCATTTTTAGTCCTCTTTGTCCATGGCTTCTCCCTACTGCTGCCCCCTCCCCACACATTTCTTAATTTGTGTCCTGTGTCCCTTTATTAACTGCCATTTTCTAAATGAAGTTTTTTTCAATAAAAGGAAAGAGATGCAAAAAAAAGCTTTAAATCATTATATCAACGATAGCTATTATTATTGTTTATACATAGTCCAGTATCATTCAACATTTCTGTGCCATGTCTGGGCTAAGTGCTGGGAGCAGAGAGGGAAAAGACAGTCCCTGCTCTCAGAGAGCTCACATTCTAATGGAGGAGAAAGCATGTGAACAACTACATACAAATAATATATATGCAGGATAAATTGGAAATAATCAACAGAAGGGAGGCGCCAGAATTAAGAAGGATCTTGTCACCCTCATTAGAATGTGACTTCAGGCATAGACTGTTTTTGCCATTTTTATATATCCTTGGTACTAAGCACAGGGCCTGGCACACACTAAGCAGTTGATAAATGCTTGTTGACTTACTGCTTAATAGGTGCTGCTTGTTCTTGTTGAATTGAGTGGAACCCTGAGATCAGGTGAAGTTGGAATGGTAGGAGAAGGGGTTGAGATTCCAGTGTGTAAGGCTACCCTGGGAGGCAGGGTCTTATCTACTGTTCAACTCAGCTGGGGATGGGGAGACAGTCCCAGCTTCGAGTTGACTGGGGGTGGTGAAAGTTGGTTCGTCTTATTGCTGGGCAGGCTCCTTTAAGGGATAAGGAAACCAGACACAAGGGAGGCGTGGTCACCAAAGGGGTGGGTATTTATAAGAAATGAAAGTGGAAGTACTGATGAGGAGAGAGGTAGGGGATCTTACAGATTGCCTTTCCAAAGAGTGTTGAGACGGAGGGATTTATCCTACATAGTCCACCCTCAGCTCCATTCCTCCACCCCAAATCCTCACCTCCAGGTGGCACCCTGAGCCTTTTCGTTGCCCCTAAGCAGCACAAGAGAAGAACCTCATGGATGAGAAATATAATATGGTAAGTGGTGGGTATGGTGATGGTCGTCAGAATGATAGTCTTCCTGGCTATTGGGATTACAGATTGAGAGAATGGAAAGGGATTATGCTGGGGTTGGGATCAGAAATCAGGCTGCTTATTTTTACCACCACTCCTTTGGCTTCCTTGGAAAAAAAGGGAGAAACAGACTGAGCTCTTGGAGTTCGCCCCTAGGACCTCACCCACACGTGAAATCAACTCCCACACTGGCTCAAATAACATTCCCATACTTAGGGTCTGAAGGTACCTGCCTTACCCTTGACCCTCTGAAGAGAAATATTACTCCCTGAACTCCCCTCTATCCCCACCCAAAACAGTCTAATGACAAAGATAAACATCAATCCTCACTCTCAATTCAATACAATCCGTCTGCATTTCTCCTGTTTTGGGTGTTCTTTCCTAAGGCTAGTTTTTTTTTTTTAAATTTTCAATTAACAGTCATTTATTTTCTCTCCCTCTCCCTCCCTGCTCCCCATCACCTGATGTTAAAGAAAAACAAAACCTTTATCATAAATATGCATAATCATGCAAAACAAATTCCCATGTTGTCTGCAGCCAAAGATGTATGTTGCATGGTGTATATTAAGGCCATCTGTCTCTCTGTTAGGAGATGAGTAGCATTTTTCATCATTAGACCTCTAAAATTGTGGTTGGTCATTGCACTGATGAGACATAAGTCTTTTAAAGTTGTTGGTCTTTATGATATTATTATTATATAAACTGTTCTCTCGGTTCTGCTCACCCCACTCTGCATCAGTCGTAGCATAAGTGTTGCCAGGTTTCTCTGAAACCATCCCTATATCACTTCTGTACGAGAGTATGCCATAATTTGTTCAACCAGTCCTCAATGGATGGACACCCCTTTAGTTTCCAATTCTTTGTCACTTCAAAAAAAGCTGCTATAAATATTTTACACCTATAGGTTCTTTTCCTTCTTTCATCTCCTTTGGGCATAGAACTGGTAGTGGTATTTCTGGGTCAAAAGGGCATGAACAGTTTACAGAAATTTTTGCACATAGTTCAAAATTGATTACCAAAATAGTTGGACCAATTCAACCAACAATTTCTGCTTAACTACTTATATAACAGGCAAGTCATTCAGCATCTTTGGTCCTCATTTTCTTCATTTGTAAAATGAAGAGGTGATGATTAGATCATCGGCTTATAGACTGAATGCTAAAAGAGACCTTATGAGGCCATCTAGTCCAATCACCTCATTTTACAGATGAGGAAACTGAGACTCAGAGACATTAAGTGACATACCCAGGGTCTCAGGCAGGATTTGAACCCAGGTCTTCCGAAGTCCAAGTTCAGTGATCTATTAACTATGCATTCTGCCTCCATGGTCCCTTCTACCTCTGACTATGATGCTTTGTGTGCATATCTTGCCACAAAATGAAACCACCAGCTTGTAAACTGCTTGAGGGACCATGTTTTATATAGTGTCTAAATCCTACAGAGTGCCTTATGTGGTGTTTGATGGACAGTAGGCACTCAATAGCTGCTTGTTGATTTATTGACAAGGATCAGCTGCTGTCTGAGGCTGTTTGGGAAGCAGAGACGCGGAGACCTCAGGAGGACACTCTGAGGTGGAGACAGAAGCTTCAGGTGAGTCCCAGTGATGGGCAGGAGAGGGAATGGATTGTGTTTCAGGTGGGACTTTCCAGAGGGGGGAACCTTTTCCTTGGGTTGGTACATTCTTTGGAAAGGCAGGTGGTTAATTCATCATCGCCTCTCTTCCCCTCTCCTCCTTATTGAGCAGGAGCTCTGCTCCCTGAAGGAAGAACAGGAAAGGCTAAAGCTGAGAAAGGAGGAGCTAAAGCAACTCCAGACAAAGCAACGTGCCCACCAGAAGAAGGAGGTAAAGCAGGGGGCAGACAGCAGGCAGAAGGGAGGGGGCTCAGGAGGGAAGGGTTTTTTTTCCTTCTCTCTTCTCTCCCTCACATCCAGTCAGGTGCCCAATCCTGTCAGTTCTCTGTCGGAAAATCTCTCTCATCCACATAATTTCTATTATCCCGGCTACCACCCTCTTTGGGTATCTTACAACCTCTTTCCTGGACCATAGTACAGTTATCCCTTCCACATTGTGAGTGGTAGGGGTACAGCACCCCTTTGATTTGCAAAATCTGTGTAAAGTTTTTTGGCCTTCCCTCCATCCTAGAGAAGTCAGAATTTGTTCTTTTTCTTTTATGGGATATTTACAGTACCTTATTGTAAATTTTGAGTTAAGTATTTGTTGAGAGGCTCTATGCCATCTGTGGGCCTTCAAGTGTCCTCTGCAGCTTCCACAAAACTCCCCAAAATTCCCAATTAATTTCTTATGCCAACCTCAAAATATAGCAAAACCCACGTTGGGGAAAGTCGCTATGTGAAAGGGATAACTAATAGCCTCTCAGCTGGTGTCCCTCCCTCCCAGGTTCTCTCTTCAGCTGGGATGCCCAGAGGAGCTTCCTAATTCATTGTTCTGAATATGCTTCTTCCCTGCACAATGCTTCTCCATCCCCTACTGAATAAAATATGAACCCCTTAGCTTGACTTTCAAGGCCTTCTGCAGTCTGGGTCCAGCCTCCTGCTTTAGCTTTCGTTCACAGAGCTCTCCATCACCTGCTCTATGTTCCAGCCAAACTGAACTACTTATTATTCTCCTTTATTGGAGGATCTTAACCTAGGGTTCAAAATTTTTTTTTTTTAATATTTTAACTCTTTTAGTATGATTGGTTTCCTTCATAGCCCTACGAATTTTATTTTATGCATTTAAGAACGTTATTCTGAGAATTTCACCCCGCCCCAGAAGGGGTCCCTAGGCTTTACCAGGCCACCCAAGGGGGCCATGACACCAAAAGGTTCAGAACCATACCATCCTAGCCTACTCTTTGCCCTCTTAGAGGCCAGCTATAGAAGGGCCTCCCCTCACATTCTCTCTTGTCAAAATCTCTCTTCCTTTAAGATTCAGTGCAAGTGTACTGATCCCTTGGCTAGAAGTGATCCTTCCTATCCTGGTCTCTCTTTGATTTCTCCTGTATACTTTTTTCTCCTATATACCTTTTTCTAACTTTTATGATAACAACTGGTGTATTTGTATACATGTTTCATATCCCCTACTAGAGTCTAAGATCCTTGAAGGCAAGAACTGTGTGGTAGTTTGTGGTTGATTTTCATCTTTGTCTCTCCCATGATGCCTTACAATAGGTAGGCATAGGTAGTCGCTATGTGAAAGGGATAACTAATAGTCTCTCTCTCTCTCTCTCGATTTTAATCACTGAATTGTTCACATAACTTACGAGGCCAAGGGAGCGACATAAGAATTAGGAGCAATGGCCAGAAGTTGGTTGACAAGAGGGAAATTTAGACCCAATATAAGAAGGAGAATCTTCCTTAAAATTAGGGTTATCCAAAAGTAAAATGACTTGTTTCCCAGAAGAACAAAGTTCCTCCTACTCAAGTAAAGGCTGGATGACCACTTGTCAGGTATGTTGTTGACGGGATTCTTTGTCAAGCATAGGTTGGGCTAGATGGCTTCTGAGGTCCCTTATGATCCTGAAATTCTGTGGCTTGGTAAAAGCTCTTCTATTCTCGTGCATTAGATTGGAAGTCAGAAGACGTATAATCAAGTCATCAAGTCTGAGCTTTGTGACTGCGGCCATGCTTCTTTCTTTAAAGAAAAAATTATATATATATATGTATACATATATATAGATATAATATATATATGTATACATAGATATCTTTTGTTTTTACATTGCCTCCTATATTCCAACTTCTCCCCACTCCCAGAGAATCATCTTTTATGACAAATTCTTTTTTTTCTTTTTCTTTTTCTTTTTTTTAAGGCAATTGGGGTTAAGTGACTTCCCCAGGGTCACACAGCTAGTAAGTGTCAAGTGTTTGGTCTGAGGTCGGGTTTGAACTCAGGTCCTCCTGACTTCAGGGCCGGTGCTCTATCCACTGCGCCACCTAGCTGCCCCTTACTAAATTATTTTTAAAAGAAAAAAGAGAAAGAAAAATTCAGCAAAACTCACCAGTACTTCAAAAAAAATCTGGCATTATATGTAATATTCCATACCCCTGTATCTCTGAACTCTGCAAATGAGTACAGGCAGGTGCCTTCTCATATCTCTCCTTTGGGGCTAGGAATTCTTGAGCATTTTTTCATTTAGTTTTATTTTTATAAATACATTTTTATTGATATCTTTTGTTTTTACATTGCTTAATTTTCTCCTAGTGTCCTTCTTCCTTTCACTCCCAGAGCTTGTACAATGAAGAATATATTTTTTTAATTTTTTTTAACATTTTTATTTAAAGTTTTGAGTTCCAAATTCTATCTTTCCCTTCCTCTTCTCCCCCTTTCCTGAGACAGTAAGCAATCAGATATAGGTTATATATGTGCAATTATGTAAAACATTTGCATATTAGTCATTTGGTACAAGAAAACTTAAAAGGAAAATAAGAAAGAAAGGAAGTGGAAAATAGCATGTTTCAGTCTATATTCAATCAATATCAGTTCTTTCTCTGCAGGTAGATAGTATGCTTCATCATTAGTCCTTTGGGATTGTCTTGGATCCTTGTATTGTTTTTCGTCGAACAGTATTGCTGTTACTGTGTACAATGTTCTTCTGGCTCTGTTCGCTTTACTATGCATCAGTTCCTGTAAGTCCTTCTAGGTTTTTCTGAAATCATCCTGCTTGTCATTTCTTATAGCACAATAATATTCCATTACAATAATATACCACAGCTTGTTTAGTCATTCCCAACTGATGGGCATCCTCTTAATGTCCAATTCTTAGCTGCCACAAAAAGAACTGCTATAAATATTTTTGTACAAATTTTGTACAAATTTTCCATTTTTTGGATGTCTTTGGGATATAGACCTAGCAATGGTATTGCTGGATCAAAAGGTATGCACAGTTTTATAGTCCTTTGGGCATAGTTCCAAATTGCTCACCGGAATGTTTGGATCAGCTCACAACTCCACCAACAGTGCATTAGTGTCCCAGTTTTCCCGCATCCCCTCCAACATCCAACATTTTCCCTTTTTGTCATATTAGCCACTCTGATAGGTATCAGGTGGTACCTCAGAGTTGTTTGAATTTGCATTTCTCTGATCAATAGTGATTTAGAGTATTTTTTTCATATGACTATAGATAGCTTTGGTTTCTTTGTCTGAAAACTGCCTGTTCATATCCTTTGACCATTTATCAATTGGAGAATTACTTGTATTTGTATAAATTTAACTCAGTTCTCTATATTTAAGAAATGAGGCCTTTATCAGAGTTACCTGTTGTAAAAATCCCCCCCACCCCATTTTCTGCTTTTCTTATAATTTTGGTTGCATTGATTTTGTTTGTACAAAACCTTTTTTCTGTTATATAATCAAAATTATCTATTTTACATTTTTTAATGCTCTCTATTTCTTCTTTGATCCTAAATTCTTCCCTTATCCATAAATCTGACATATAAACTATTTCATGCTCTTTTAATTTGCTTATAGTATCACCCTTTATGTGTAAATCATGTACCCATCTTGACCTTATCTTAATATATTGTGTGAGATATTGGTCTGTAACAATTTCTGCCATACTGTTTTCCAGTTTTCCCAGAAGTTTTTGTCAAATAATGAGTTTTTGTTCCAAAAACTTGGATCTTTGGGTTTATCATATGCTAGATTACTATGTTCATTTATTATAATGTAATTTGTACCTACTCTATTCCACTGACCCCCTACTGTTTCCTAGCCAGTACCAGATTGTTTTGACAATTACCACTTTATAATACAGTTTGAGATATGGTATGTATGGCTAGACCACCTTCTTTCCCATTTATTTTTCATTGATTCTTGATATCCTTGAGCTTTTGTTCTTCCAGATGAATTTTATTATTACCTTTTGTAACTCTATATAATAATTTTTTGTTAGTTGGATTGGCATGGTACTGAATAAATAGATGAATTTAGGTAGAATTGCCATTTTTATTATATTAGCTCAACCTACCCATGAGCAATTATTATTTTTCCAGTTGTTTAGCTCTGACTTTATTTGTGTGAAAAGTGTTTTATCGTTGTGTTCATATACTTCCCAAGTTTGTCTTGGCAGATAGACTCCCAAGTATTTTATATTGTCTACAGTTATTTTAAATGGAATTTCTCTTTCTATTTCTTGCTGCTGAACTTTTTTGGTAATGTATAGAAATTCTGATGATTTATGTGGGTTTATTTCATATCCTGCAACTTTGCTGAGGTTGTTAATAATTTCAAGTTGTTTTTTAGTTGATTCTCGAGGATTTTCTAAGTATGACATCATATCATCTGCAAAGATTGATTGTTTTGTTTCTTCATTGCCTATTCTAATTCCTTTAATTTCTTTTTCTCTTATTGCTATAGCTAACATTTCTAGTATAATATTAAATAATAGAGGTGATATTGGGTGTTCTTGCTTCACCCCAGTTGTATTGGGAAGGCTTTTAGCTTATCCCCATTACAGATAATGCTTGCTGATGGTTTTAGATAAATATTGCTTATTATTTTAAAGTAAACTCCTTTTATTCCTGTGCTCTCTAGTGTTTTTAGTAGGGATGAGTGCAATATTTGGTCAAAGGCTTTTTCTGCATCTATTGACATAATCATATTATTTCTGTTAGTTTTGTTATTGATGTGGTCAATTATGCTGATAGTTTTCCTAATATTGAACCACCCTGCATTCCTGGTATAAATCCCACCTGGTCATAGTGTATGATCCTTGTGATATATTGCTGTAATGTCTTTGCTAGTATTTTATTTAAAATTTTTGTATCAATATTCATTAAGGAAATTGGTCTATAATATTCTCTGTTTTGGCTGCTCCTGATTTAGGTATCAGCATCATATTTGTGCCATAAAAGGAATTTGGTAGGCCTCCTTCACCTATTTTTCCAAATAGTTTATAGGGATTAATTGTTCCTTAAATGTTTGGTAGAATTCATTTGTGAATCCATCAGGTCCTAGGGATTTTTTCTTAGAAAGTTCATTGATAACTTGTTCAATTTCTTTTTCTAAGATTGGGTTATTTAAATATTTTATTTCTTCTTTTATTAATCTGAGTAATTTATATTTTTATAGATATTAATACATTTAATTTAGATTATCAAATTTATTGGCATATAATTGAGCAAAATAGCTTTTAACAATTGTCTTAATTTCCTCTTCTTTGATGGTGAATTCACCTCTTTCATTTTTGATGCTAATAATTTGGTTTTCTTCTTTTCTTTTTTTAATCAAATTAACCAATGGTTTATCTATTTTATTGTTTTTTTTTTCATGAAACCAGCTTCTAGTTTTATTTATTAGTTAAATGGTTTTCTTTCAATTTTATTCATCTCTCCTTTGATTTTCAGGATTTCCAATTTGGTGTTTAATTGGGGATTTTTAATTTGTCCTTTTTCTAGTCTTTTTTTTTTTAATTGCATGCCCAATTCATTGATCTGCTTTTTCTTTATTTTATGGATGTAATCAATTAGAGATATAAATTTCCCCCTAAGTACTACTTTGGCTGCATCCCATAAATTTTGATATGTTGTCTCATTGTTGTCATTTTCTTTAATGATATGTTTCTATGACTTGTTCTTTGACCTACTCCTTATTTTGGATTAGCTTATGTAGTTTTCAATTAAATTTCAAGCATTGCAATAGCTATTTTCTTTTCTTTTCTTTTTTTTCTTTTTGTCAATTGGGGTTAAGTGACTTGCCCAGGGTCACACAGCTGGTAAGTGTCAAGTGTTTAGTCTGAGGCTGGATTTGAACTCTGGTCCTCCTGACTTCAGGGCCAGTGCTCTATCCACTGCACCACCTAGCTGCCCCACAATAGCTCTTTTCTTTATTGACTTAGCTGCTTGCTTTCTCTGGAGGTAGGCTTCCCTTCTGGCTTGTCCCGTTGGCTTCCCCTAGGTGTGGGATTTAGCTGCTTCTTCCCAGCTCCAGGGTTGGGGCCTTGCTGCTGGGTTGCTATGGAAATAGGGTCTCTCTACTGGTAGGTCCCAGAGGCGGGGCTTCACTACCGGTTAGCAATTGGGTCAAGGCCTCGCTGGTGGCTTGTGATGGGGGTGGGGTCACTGGGGTGGCAGCTTGCTGTAGTGCGCAGACTGCTCACTTGCCTAGGGGGCTGCTGGTTTGCAGGAGGGTAGGACCTCTCTGGTGGGTTCTTGGAGGCTTGGAGCCTTGCTGCAGGCCTCCTGCTGTGAGGCTGGCTGCTGCTGCTCATGGACCTCACTCACCTCCCACCCCAATGAGATTACCAAAATTTAAAAAAAATGAAGGTGAGGCAAGAATTCTGCAGAGGATGCTGCACGCAAGAAAGACATCCCAAGCATGGGTAACAAACAGCATGGGCAGAAGGACAGAGATGGTTAAGAATAGACCATGTGTTGAGAGACTGGAAGCATCTAGGTTGGCTAGAGTTTGGAACAGGAGTCTCCAAACATTCTTGATCTTTTTTTCATTTTCTTAGTCATTGATTCTTACCAGTTAAACATTTTTGAGCATGGAGCTCCAAGATGTATAATATTTATAAATTATGGACATAAAAATATACACAAAATAGATTCTGAAAAGGTTGAGCTAAAGATGAAATTGACATTTTAATTTTTTCAAAATTTAAAAAATGTTTCAAAAAATTGTTTGATAATACAAAAAGCCTTTTTGCACTCCTTAAAAATCTGTTTTTTTTTCCTAGAGAACAATTTTAGTGACTGTTTCATTATTTTTGAAAATTTTGGCTTAACACTTGATGATGAAGTGATTTGAAGGATCATAAGAGAATAGATTTAGATCTTGAAGGAATGTTAGACCCTTCCTTTAACAGATGAGGAAACTGAGGACCATAAAAGTGAAGGGGCTTACCCTGGATCGCACAAATAGTAGGTGGCCACGGATCTAAAGGACAGTCTACTAATTTCAAAAAGCTCTGATTGTAAGTTCACACTTGGTTTTAATGTCTATCATAGTTGAAAAAGATCTCTCACTGTGACCCAAAGATCCCAACAGAAGAAGGACATCCCTGGGTGCACTTGCCAAGTTCTGATATAAAATTTTCCAACCCCCAAACTACTTATGAAATGATTTTGCTTAAAATTTGGTTAGTAAATTTCTACCTTCCTTGATATTAGGAATGGGGAGGTCAGGTCCTGGTCCAGAGGATCTCTTTTCCAGTTGGGAAGAAGGAGGTAGTAGCAGATGGCAAGATGCCCAGCTAAGCCCTGGTCCTTTGGTGGTGGGTGACCTTCATTTGCTTCCAAGCTCACCAATGGGTTTGCATAACATAGATCAGGTCCTATAGCAGATCCTAGAGAGTTCTGGGCTTGGTTACTTAAACCTCAAACCTCAAGCCAACACGGCGGCCTCTTGCTGGTAACTCGCTCCCACTTTTGACACGTCCATGCTACTCTTCCCCTGTTGGCACGGCTTCCCTTGTTCTCTTGGAGGTAGGAGGGAAGAGAGAGGAAACTGAGTAGACAAAAGGGAGGTTACATCCATGGGGAAGCATTTCCCCCATCCCAGGCCAGCCTGGCTGACTGAGCTCATGGAGAACCCCTTCCCCTAGGATTCCACAGATCATGCACCTCCTCTGTCCCAAGTCCTAGAACCCATATCCCATCTATCTTCCTATGAGGGTGAGGCCCTGCAAGAGTCCCCACTTTCAGAGAAAAGCAGGGTCTGCCTGTCCCCACTGCAGTCCATCCATCATCTCAGTGGGGTCCTAGAAGAATGAAGAGCCCTGGCCAGGAGACATGCAAGGTATCCCCTACTGCTGTAGTGGCACAGGGAAGTGAGGAAGGGATGCACAGAGATTAGGTGGGGAATGACCTCCTGCCTGCCTGGGGACGATCAGTTGTGGCTGCCCTTGGGACAGGAAGAAGGAAGGAGAGCAGCGGAGACAAGTTCAAGCTTGCTGAACTGCTGTGTGGCTTTCTTTGGAGCTTAAATATTTTCTTTGCGTACCTCCATGGATCATCTTGCACACCTGGGGTGCCCCACTTTGGAGGGGACTGCCACAAAGTAGAAATAATAGGAGAAAACCATTTCCCAGTAAATAAATGGTCAGAGGATATGAATAAACGGCCCGGGGCGGGGGGAGGTTGGAAAGTATTAGCAGCCCTACACATGAATACTCCAAATCATTAATAATAAGAGAAATACAAATCATAACAACCTTGAGGTTTCACCTCATACCCCTAAATTGCCGCATTGTCAAAGATGACAAAAGATGGGAATAGTCAACATTGGAGGGGTTGTGAGAAGACAGGCACACTCATGCATTATTGGTGGAGTTGTAAAGTGTGTAAGTGTTTAGTTGTTTTCAATCATGTCTAACTCGTCTGTTTGGATTTTCTTGGCAAAGATACTGGAGTGATCTTACCATTTCCTTCTCCAAATTATTTTAAGTGAGGAAACTGAGGCAAACAGGGTTAAGTGACTGACTTATTTATCATTATTTAAATTATTTGAAAAATAAGAAAATAATCTTTAAAATCTGGGTGTATTGCCCAGATTTCAATATGCACATGTTGCATGGTGCCTGACTCATAGTAACAGCTTAATAAATGCTAACTGATTGGTTTATTGGGTGGACACCCTGTGATTAACCTTTTTTGTATCATGTACCCCTTCCCTCCCCCTTGGCAGTCTGGTGAATCCTAGGGACCCCTTCTCAGAATAATGTTTTTAGAGGTACAAAATAAAATACTTAAGATTACAAAGGAAACCAATTCTATTGAAATAAAGATGTCATTTATTTTCCCATCCAAGTTCATGGATTCTTTGAAAGCTATTCCTAGACCCCTTGTGGAGCTGCATATTCCACCGGAGAGCTAGTCCAACCATAGGTCAATGCGGAGCAAAAAAGGACTGTTGGACAGTGGGTTGGACATAGAATTGAAGAGGAGGAGGAGGGTGAGCTGGATTGCTTTTAAGACATTACAGCACTCCATGCCTATACCCTTCTTTTCAATACCAACACACAGCTAGTAAGTGTCAAGTGTCTGAGACCAGATTTGAACTCAGGTCCTCCTGACTCCAAGGCCAGAGCTCTGTCCACTGCGCCACCTAGCTGCCCCTGGTATTGTCCTATAGCAAAAAGACATGGTGCTCCACTGCTTCCAAAAAACTAAAGATGAGAATCACAGCAAGAGAGGCAGGGGCAACATAGAACCAATGAGGAACTCCAAAGAAGAGCGGAGTAAAGGAAGTCATCAAACATTGTATGACAGGAAGAGAAGATGAAGTGGCCATGTGGCCAAAGAGGGGAGACTGATAGGTGGACTGCCATAGTGCTCCACTGGAACCCCCTTATGTCAGGAGAAAGCAGGGAAGGCCTCCAGCACACTGGGTGGACCTCCTGTGATGGACTTTTTCAGAAACAAACAAGAGTTGCACTGGATAGACAGCGTTGTGATTTATATAGTTGGAAGGAACTCTTTGAATTGGTGAGGTCACAGATCCATTTGAGATACCAGAGGGATCACCAAAAGGGACCTCAACTGAATGGGGCGCATCCCCCTCTGGAGCGAAGTGGAAGAGTAGAAATGACCTGACTCCCTTTTATCTGGCTCTCCTCCCCATCTTCAGGTCCCCTTCCCAGTGCCTCAGGCAGTCGTAGTGTTCCAAGGACAGACAAAGAAGGAAAAGGAAGTGTCTGAGACCTTCTTTTCCAATCTTCGTATCCATTATCCCCTGCCTGGGAGTTCAGCTTTGGTCACCTTTGAGGACCCTAAAGGTAGTAGAGGAACACGGATGAGAGAGGGATTGGGTTGGGTGAGGAATTGGGGGGTGGGGTGGCTTCTCAAAGTGAAGTGCTGACCCTGTCCATCCTTGTCTGCCCTCCAGTGGCAAAAGGTCTCCTGCAGCACCAAGAGCATAATGTCATCTTGGAAGAATGCCGGCTTCGAGTCCGAATCCAGCCTGTGGAATTGCCTGCTCTCACCAGCATCAAGGTTCTAAGAGTTCAGCGGGGTGAGGTTCTAAGACACCAGTAGGATCAGGCGAGCCTATTCTCTGCCATTCCGTTCCCAGGTGCTGACTTGGTTATGCAGCTATAAGGTGCTAATCATCGGGCTGCCCCCTGCCCTAAAGCTGAGTGAAGACCAGCTGTTAGACAAGTTGGAGCTTTTCTTCAGCAAACCCTCGAATGGAGGTGGTGAGGTGAAGATGCGGGAGCTGCTTCCAGGGGCGGCTGTTCTGGGCTTTACTGATGACAAAGGTAACGGGAGAGGTCTGGAAACGGCGGGGGCTTCACTGTGTAACTGAGGGAGGTAGAGACTCAGGGATCTCAGGGCTAAGGAGCCTCCCCTTCATTTGTTCCCGACCCAGTGGCTGAACGCCTGGCCAACATCCACCACTTCATGATGACCTTGGGTGGTGCTGAGGTTCCTTTGAGGGTCTTTCCTTATGTCAGTGGGGACATCCAGGAGATGGAGGTAAGACGGGGGGGGGGGGAAAGAGGATGAACAGGAAAAAGTGACAATCCTAGAGGCTGGCCTGGGGATCTCATCGAAGGACCTAACACCGTTCTAGTCCTGGGGGCCCCCATCTCCCTATCCGCTCCTGATCCTCCATGTATATATGTGTTTTCCAGATAAGTCGCTGCTCGGTCCCCCACTCAGTGCTGGTGGTTAATATCCCAGACGTCCTTGATGGGCCAGACCTTCAGGATGTCCTCGAAATCCATTTCCAAAAGCCAACTCGAGGTGGGGGTGAGGTGGAATCATTGATGTTTGTGGCCCCTGGGACACAGGGCCTGGCCCTTTTCACCCCCGAGTAGGGTTAGCCAGCCACAAGCTCTCCTCGTGGCTTCTCATTGTACCTTATCGTCCCAGATTTTGCATCTGTTAAAGGGGGAGGGGAGAGGTCTTCATTCCCTTCTCTCCCTCCAAAGCATTAAACCCCTTTGTGCTATGGAATATAAGACCCGACAACACCATGTTTTCATAGTATTTCACTCAAATGTGATTGCGGGGTAGGGATGAAGAGGGTTTTTTGCCCCTTTTTACATACCCAGCGTTTAGCACAGTGCCTGGCACGTAGTAGGTGCTTAGTAAGTGGTGTTTTTAAAACTCTGCTGGCACATAGTAGGTACTTAATAAACACTTTTGACTGTGTGAGTAGGAGAATAAATGCAGCAGCCTCTAGGGCTAAAGGCCAAGAACCTTTGGGCCTTTGTGCAGCTCTGCCACTTATCCTCATTCTCCCACCCAAAACACACACACAGTACACACACAAAACTCTGAAGAGGAGCTATAGGGACAGCGCTTTATTGACAAACACAAAGGCAGCTTCGGCAGTGGGTGGATGAGGGAGACAAACACACAAGAAGAAAATCACATTTCACTTTAGGCCTTGCTTAGAAAATGAGGGAGGGATATATATCCACCCCCTTCCCCACATCGGTCATTTGGCAGTGGCCAGGGTTGTGACCTACCTGCCCCTCATCCCCCATTCTCAATTGAGAGATGGAGGAAGAGGGGCTGACAGTGCTCACCCTCAGAATCCTGACATTTGGCCTCCAGCTCAGGGACCCAAGGGCAGATGCCCAAATCTGCCTGCTGTTCTCTTCCCTCCCCCCTCCCCAACCAATCCCCAATGTAAACAAGAAATCCAGGACTATGTTTAAGAAAATTGCCTCCCACTCTGAGGACAGCAAAAGTCGGTTGGGGCCTCACAGGACTCAAGCTGGAATGTGCTTCGAATTTTACTTTGCTCCCAGAGTTTGGAAATTGACACAATTGTCTCTAAGAGCCCAGGCTGGTAAATTCCACAGTTATCTGCAAGGCTGAAAAAAAGATCCTCCCCAACCAGAAACAGACAGATAAGATAGACTGGCAAAAGGGTGGGGAGTTTGTTTTTTCTTACCAAGCCCCAGAGACTACAGGCCTCTGGATCCCCACCCCCTCCTCAGACACACATAGATTTTTGGCAGCGCAGTGGGACTGGAAACCCCAGCTCCATCAGAACAAGGCACTGGGGAGTGCTGGGGGTGAGAACCTAGGGGGAAAAATACACTTATACTCCCCATGAACACAAAAAACTTTTCAGATGCCAAGGCACTGAGAACAGATCTAAGGAACTCAGTGTAAGAGGGGAAGCCAAGGGGATTCCTGCCACGCCCCCTCAGAGCCTAAGGGGGTGGTAAGGACAGTATGTTCTCTTCCCTAGGGTGTAAGACACAAACTAGGTTAAAACTGTGGAAGAGCCCTGTGTTAGGAGAGGCCCAGTTGTGCTTATAAAGTCAGGAATAAGAAGGAGGGGCATGGTGACTGGGCTTAGCTACTGACTAATAGCTGCTAACATTTATACAGGGTGTCCCAGAAGTCTTAGGGCCATTTTCAGCAAGCTTAAAACAGCCCTGAGACCTCTGGGACACCCCGTATGTCATTTTAGAGACTGGTCAGCTCTGCGGCTATTCAGACTTAGTGCAGCCGAGACGGGGCATGTACTAGACTCACAAGGATGGTCCCCCTTACCCCCACCCTGAGCTGGCATTTCAGTTTCTTTGGGGGAAGTAAGGGAGTAGAATCGGGACGATTAACAGAGACCAACTCGTACACAACAGGGGAGGGAGGGTGGGAGGAGGGAAGAGGTTAAACTTGGCACAAGCAGGGCAGAAAGCCCAGGGGAACAAGAGGTGGGGTGGGAAGAAGCAGCTGGGCCCCTGGGTGGGTCCCTGCCCACTCAGCAGGGCCCATACATCCAAGTGGTCACTTCCTAACCTTCTGGGGGAAGAGGAAGGGAGGGGAGGCAGCCCTGACCAAGAGGAAAGAAATACGATTGGAGAGAGGTCATCACACCATGGAGACCATCCCTGACCCTTGGAAGGGAAGTGTATTTGGGAGAGCTGAAGAAGGAAGAAGGCAGAGGCATCAGTAGTAACCCAAAAGAATATTACTCTAGGTCCCCCAAGTCTCACCCTTGTCCTCTCTGCCCCCCAACCTTTCTCCCCTGCCATGACCCTCCCCTTCTAGTTCTTCTTCTCTGAATTGGGCACCAGGATGACTTTGCCCACATTCTTCTTCTCTTGGATTTGCTTCATGGCATCAGCCACCTATAGGGGGAAAGGGGGAAAAAAATCACTGAAATTTAACTGTGGATGAAGCAAAACCATTTGCTCTTGTCCTTCATGTTCCCATCCATCTACCCCCAGATAGGGAGTATTCCTAAGGCTTACAGGATTTGGAGTTGAAAGAGACCAATGAGCTCAAATTTCCTTTTCCAGATGAGAAAAACTGAGCCCCAGAGAGGTTTGGAAGTGACTTGCCCAAGGTCACAGGGAGAAAGCATCAGAGCCAGGCTTAGAACCCACATCTCTTCACTCCAGAGGCAGTGTTCTTTCCATCCCTTCTCAGCTACCATCATGATTACGGGGAGTGGGCCTTCCCCTACAATAGCTATAGAGAAAGCATCATGCAGTGGAAAGAGGACTGGACTCGGAGGGACAAAGGATGGAAACAAGCATTTATATAGCACCTACTGTGTGCCAGGCATTGTGCTAAGCACTTTTACAAATATTATCTTACTGGATCCCTACAACAATCCTGAGAGGTAGGCGCTATTATTATCCCCATTTTACAGATGGTTGAGAAAAACTGAGGCAAACTGTTGCCATGAAGGTTAAGTGACTTACCCAGGATCACAGAGCTACTAAGTGTCTGAGGCTGGATTTGAACTTGGGTCTTCCTCACTCCAGGCCTAGTGCTCTATCCACTGTACCACCTAGCTGCCTTGGTGTCAGGCAAGGTCTGGGTTGCAATATGAGCTGACACCACTTATGTGAACACAGGCAAGTCTCTCTGAGCATCACTGTCCTCTTATGTAAAACAGGAGTAATAATTCCTACGGCACACTTTGTGTCAGCTGTCTTCCTTCCAGCTTCACAAAGGAGGTCCCTTTATTTATTTTTTGTTCTGTTTTGTTTTTTGCTAGGCAATAGGGTTAAGTGACTTGCCCAGGGTCACACGGCTAGTAAGTGTCAACTGCCTGAGGCCAGATTTGAACTCAGGTCCTTTTGACTCCAGGGCCGGTGCTCTATCCACTGCTCCACCTAACTGTCCCAGGAGGCCCCTGCAGGCCTGCGTGGGCTAGTTCCCTACTCACCTTTTCAAAGGGCCAGACCGAGTCAATGTGAGGCTTGATGTGGCCCTCGCTGTACAGGGTCATCAGTTGCAGCACCACCCTGCTGACCAGTTCCACCTCATTCTCCAGGTAGTTGAGGTGGAAACCACAAATGCCCCGATTTGCCTGCAGCAGCTGCAAGGCAGACACGCTGAACTGATTCCACCAGGTTTTAGCCATTGCCATCAGGTTCCGTTTTGGGCCGGTCAGCAAGTTGGCCACCCCTTCGGAAAAGAGGAGACAGGACACATTCATTAAAAATTGCCCACGTCCGCTACTGGTGGAGGAAGGGATCTAGTCTCACCGGCCAACGAGAGCCCACTCTCAAACAATCCCCACCAGGGCAGGAAGCAGCAACTTGAGAATTCCAAACCATCGCCTCATCCTCAAGCGTTTTCCCATCAGTTTTAGAATCTACCAATTTGCTTTGATGCAGCAGACTGATTTTTTGATCTGTGTTTGGCTCAGGCAGATTTAAAAAAATAAAAACATATAAACATACACACAAACATATATATATATGCATGTGCACATATGTTTGTGTACATATAATATATATAAATGTGTTGCATTATATATTGTGTACATTGAATATATAAAAATTTGGTGTACATATATAGTATAGATTTACTACTACATTTATATTAAATATGTATATTCTTTAGAGGCAACAGCAGGGTATAGTGGATAGAGAGTAGGTCTTGGCCTAGAAGTGAGGCCTGGTCAGTTGAGCTGTTGATTCTGACACGTTCTGGCTGTGTGACCTTGGCCAAGTCATTTAACCACCAGAGCCCTAGGGTATATCTCTCTAAGGTTCTAAGTTGGAAAGCAGGTGCTGATTTGCATTGATATGAATTTCCTCACTGGGTGTTCTCTAAAACTACAGGTCTGTCCAAATTAAAAAAATTAAATGTATTAAATAAAATATATATATGTATGTATTTATGTACGTATAATAAATGCATATACAAAGGGGGCACTAGGTGGGGCCATAGTGCACAGAGTGCTGGGCTGAGTCAGGAAGGCTCATCTTCCTGAGTACAAATATGGCCTCAGATACTCACTAGCTGTGTGACCCTGAGCAAGTCACTTGACCCTGTTTACCTCAGTTTCCTCATCTGTCAAATGAGCCGAAGGAGGACATGACAAACCACTCCAGTATCTTTGCCAAGAAAGCCCCAAATTGGGTGGGGTCATGAAGAATTGGACACAACTGAAAATCTCTGAACTAATACGTGATACCTGTATTTATATGTGTATACATACCCCACACACAAATATTGTATATACACGGAGAAAGGCAGATACACAGAGAGACAAGATAAGTGGCACAGTAGAGAGAAGACTGGCCTTGGGGCTAGGAAACCTAGCCCCAAGTACTGTCTCTGACATATGCTAGCTGGGTGACCCTGGGGAAGTCATTTCATCATATAACTAGCAACTCCAAGACAGTAAGTTATAGGCAAGTTCTGGTTCCGCATCAGCTTCCACACTGATGAAATCATAAGACCAGGCCCTGCCCCAAACCTACCCCCTGAAAAAGTACATATAACTAAAGTGTAAAAACTAGGAATTTAAGCATTTTTATTGGGGAAAACAGATTCTTTTTTTTTTTTTTTTGTTAGGCAGTTGGGGTTAAGTGACTTGCCCAGAGTCACACAGCTAGTAAGTGTTATGTATCTAAGGCCGGATTTGAATTCAGGTCCTCCTCACTTCAGGGCCAGTGCTCTATCCACCGTGCCACCTAGCTACCCCCTCTTGTCCAACTCTTCACCCCGTTTTGGGGTTTTCTTGGCAAAGATTCTGGAGTGGTTTGCCATTCCCTTCTCCAGCTCATTTTACAGAGGAGGAAACTGAGGCAAATAGGGTTAAGTGACTTGCCCAGGGTCATACAGCTAGTAAGTTTCTGAAGTGAAATTTTAACTCAGGTCTTCCTGACTCCAAGCTCCTGTGCCATCTGAAGGAAATCTACTGTACTCTAAAGGACTCAGATTACTTTCTGATGTTTGTTTACCTGCCTGTGTCTACTTTTACATAGTTGTGTCACTGGATCAGAGTTGACAGGGACCACAGAGGCCATCTTGCCCCACGTGTAACTGAACAGGACTCCATCCTCTCCTACAACATTCCTCGCATGTAGTCATCCAGCTTTTATTTGAATAATTTTGTGATTTCCTACTTTAAACATCCCAGATCTTGTCTCTATGGACCCGACTGCCAAACTGGCAGATGGTCTCTAACAGTTGTCTCTACTGGAAAATCAGCAAGTGTAGGCACCATCTTGGTTGTATTTGGGCTGGTTCTTGAACAGCAGCCAGGCCCATGGCTAGGCCAAGGCAGCTGCCTCCTTTCTAGCTCCACAGGGCTTGCTGAATTCTTTGAGGCACGGTCCCTCCAGGGATGAGAAGGCACTGCTAGGAGAACTTTAGCACCATCAACACATTACTCCATGTGGGCAAAGTCCACCCACCTATCACTTGATAGCTAGCCACTATTCCATTGCGATAGCACACTAGTTTGTTTAGATAACCTAGAATTGCAATCTATGCTGTTGGTAATTTTTCTGCCATTATATCCAGCACAGTTATAAACACCGTTACAATTCCTTCCCCTCACCTCCTCCTTTTGGATTATTTTCTTGTGAGATATTCATCAAAGTGGAATAGGCAAGCAGGTCAAAGAGTGAGCATTTTTATACCTCTTGTTACATGCTGCCAAGCTCCTCCCCAAAAAGAAGGAAGTGATATATGATTCAGGGATAACATTAAGATGACTTTGCATTCCCTGGAAAGTGAGAATAGCACCACTCAGTGCATGCTGGGGGATGGAGGGGAAGGGAAAGGGAATGAATATTTATTAAGCATTTATTATGTGCCAGACACTTTACAAATATCTCATTTGATCCTGGAGGAAATTTGGTTTACAGTGTTGGTGGTAGTGTTTTTTTAATGTGTGCCTCAAAAGCCCCTTCCTTGTCCCTGTCTCCAGTTATATCTTTTCCTAAATTCCTTCAGTGGCAATGTGGCATGCTGGCTAGAGCACTGGACAGGCAATCAGGAAGATCTGTGTTCTAACCTCTTCTCAGACATTTTGCAGATCTGTGATTCTAAGCAACACTTAGCCTGCTTCTTCACCTGCGGAATCAGATGACTGGATTTGATGCCTCTAAGGTCCCTCCCATCTCCAAATCTATGATGTTATGAATGAGAGAAAAAAAGGCCAACTCCCTTTCCTCAGAGATTTGGGAATCCCTCCCCACACATATACACAAACACTTCATCTACAGACCCTTACCCCACTTGGCTGTTTTCTCTCTAACCCATTCATTAAAAATCAAACTTTTAAATAGAACAAGTTTAAAAATAAATCAACAAAAACGTACCTCAGTTAATCCATAAGGAGAATACAATGCCAAACAATAGACTGACCAGCATTTACCTAGTATGTGCCAGGCACTGCAGATGCCCCCACTCAACCCCTCTCCCTCAGTGTTTTCCCTCCACCCCCAAAGCAACTCACCATAGGTGACAACTTTACCCATCGGTTTTAGAAGGTTGTAAGCTTTGTAGGTATCTGCTCCACCCAGTGGATCGAGGACAATGTCCACCCCTGTAGGGAAGGTCACAGGAAGTCAGCAGGGACAGAGATGGGAAAATAGAGCCCTCTCCCATAATACACACACAGGCTCCTCAGGGATGTGCTCACCTTTGGGGGAGATCTTTTTGACTTCATCCACATAGTTGGATGTGTGGTAGTCAATGGGGTGGCTGACCCCCTTCTCCTTCAGCACATCATGCTTGCTGGCCGAAGCCGTCCCAAACACGGTCACGTTCTCCACTGTCTTGCACAACTGGATGGCTGCCAAGCCTACCCCTCCTAGGGCCAAGGGACATACAGGGGACAGTCACAAAACCAACATAGAGGAGGCCAAGTCTTCTGGCAGGCCCTCATGCACCTCACCTCCCACTATACTTTGACACTCATATTTCATGCCCAGATTTCCATAGGAAAGGGGCAGGGGCAAGTTGCTATGGAAACCACACTGCCAAACCCAACCTGGAGCCTGGAGGTTGCCAAGGCAACAGCACTGCTGAGGCCTCTGGGAGGTTCCTGGGCAGTACAGGCCAAGGTCTCCCTGGTGTTGCCATGGCAACAGCCAGCTTGGTGGGTGGGGGAGGAGGCAGGGTTGGGGGTGGGGAGCAGGACAGGCAGACAGAGGAGGAAAGTCTGGCATTACCTGCGGCCATGTGGACCAGAACACTGTGGCCAGGCCGAAGATTGCCACAGTCGAAAAGGACCATGTAGGCGGTGATGTAATTGACCGGCAAGGCAGCTGCCTCCTCAAAGGACATGGCTTCTGGCATTGGGAATGTCTGGACAGCTGGCACAGTCACCTCCTCCTGCCACATCCCAGAGCTCACCAGCACCATCACCCGGTCACCTACCTTGGGGAGAGGGAAGAGAAGAAGACTTTTGTCATTCAACAAAAAAAATTATAGGATATCGGAGCTGGGAGGAGCCTGACTGAGATCTTCTGATCTAAGGGGTCTTCACCTTTCTTCCATTATGGACCCCTCTAACACTCTGGGCAAGCCTATGGGCCCCTTCTCAGAAAAAAAAAATGTTCTTTTAAATGCATAAAATAAAATACAAAGGATTATAAGAGAAATGAATTCTACTGAAACTCAGTTATCAAAACAGTTTTTAAAACAAGTTCACTGACCCCAGGTTAAGAAACCCTGGATCTATCACAGCTTGCTTATTTTATGCAGAAAGAAATGTAGGCCCAGAGAAGAAAGTGATTTACCTAAGGTCACACAGCTAATAAATGGAGAAGGCAGGACTCAAACCCAGGCTTTCTAATTCCCAGCTCATGTTCTCTTATTTGTTTAACTACTGTGCAAGGCTGCTCTGTACTGCTGGGGAGGGGGCAGAATGCAGAGATGATTAAAACCATCCCTCCTCTTAAGCTTATAGTTGAGTAGGGGAGACAAAACATGTACAATAATAAACTCTAATGGAAATTCAAAGAAGGCAGAGCTCCAACTTTTGAGGGTGAGATGAGAGTTGAAATCAGGGAAAAATTTTCTGGAAGAGGAAGCATTTGCATTGGGTCCTGAAAGAGGGGACAGAATACAAATTATTTGGACAGTTTTAGCACAGTTTACCTCAAATAGCTTTAAACTACATGGAGACTTCTGGACCACCCTACATACACAGAGAGGTTACTGGATCCTCTCTCCCCCATCCCTCCATTCCAAGATGGAGAAATACTCTCCTTCTACCCCTAACACACACACAGCACAGAACACACAATGACTAGAGTGAAAGCGGAACAGACTATTATTTGGTCTTCTCCTCCAGCTCAACAGCATTCTTTTTTTGGGGGGGGGTCCTCTCTGGGGTAGCGGTAGAAGGTTTATTCTTCCTCCATGGGGAACACAGAGATGTGGGTAGGGGTGAGATCCCTGGACAATCAGGGTCTGTCTCAGTCCTTGCCAAGAATGTATGGTAATGAGAGGCAATCCGTTAGCTGGGAAAGGGGAGGGGGCTAGAACTCCCACACATAACCCCCTTTCCACCAAAAGTCTACTATCCCCAAGGCCTACATTCTCTACATAGTAGGGAAACTAGAGTATGAAAACTCCAAAATGTATATATCTCTTTCTTCTCTTCCCCATTGCCCAGAATCCAGGTCAGGAGGCTTAGATTGAGTGCAACATGGGTCAAGGAAGGAACAAGAGGAAAATATCATTGTTCAAAGGCTAGGAAATGGGGGTTGAAGGGGTAGGGGTAGAAGAACCCTATGATTTAATAGGATCATAGAATTAGAGAGCTGGAAGGGACCTTAGGGAACCAACTTCCTCACATTTTAGAGATGAAGAAACTGAGGCTCTTAATTAACTTGCCCATGGCGACACAGCTAGTATGAATCTGAAGCAGGATTTGAACTTGGGTCTTCTGGACTCCTATGTCTCTTTCCCCTACTCCAACAATCCATTTATAGGACCTTCCTGTGCAGGACTCTGGATGTGCCCTGTATAATGGTTCCACATGGCCAGTATCCCTTGATCTCAGGGGTGAGGTCAATTCAGAGCCCAATTCTAGACCCTCACTTGAAATTCTTCCTTGGGACAGGATATCCGTCGGAAGGCCTGTGTATGTTGGTTGGGGAAGATACAGAGAATGGCCTTCAACCGTTTACATGAACAAGGGGCTGGTCACCACCCCCAAATCCCTCATGTACCCTCCCCCATCTCTTAAGGCCAGCTTCCTAAATAAAAGGGTAGAAAGGAAGGTCTGACACTGATTTGAAGTTAATAGACAGTAAGGAGGAAAGGACTGGATTTTAATGGCGTTTTAGCTAGACGAATATCAGCAGCCCTTTTCCCCTATACCTTTGGGGACTCTGTTCCAGGGTCTGGAGTGGGAAAAGGTACCTAATAAAAAAGATCTCTTTTGATTGTCGCTGATCTATTCCTCTACACACACGTTTCTCTAAAACTTTATTTTAATTTGTTTTCCTTAATGAAACCAAGGGCTGTGCCTGAGATTAATGATAAATTAAAACAGGATGCTGTGACTGGTGGGGCAGGGACAACCTGCTCCTTGGTGCCAACCCCACCCCCAAAGCTCTGAAAAGCAGAGCCAGGGTCCCGGCGGGGGGGCTGCTTTGTCTGATTTCTCCCTGGGGAGGGTGCTCAGAGGTTTCTGGCTAAGCCTAGCCAGCAAGCAGCAGAGTGAGCCAGGCCGGTTATGTGAGTCACGGGGAGGAGAGATAGCAGGATGGTCACAGAAAAAGGAGCCTCTCTGAACGCCCCCTCCCGCCTTCGATGCCTCCTCCCTAGATTTCTCCCCCCACATCCCCTTCAAATCCCAACCTAGTTTACGGGGCAGAAAATGCCCCTCGAAAGGGAGGAGGGGAGGAGGGGGTAATTCGTAGGGTAAGAGTTCCAACCCTCCAGAGGGTGGGCGTGTCCATCCCTTAACTCAGCCTTAGGGAGAGGTAGTCCCCTCCCTCCGCCCCCGCTAGCCACGGGGGTGCATGTGACTCTGGCCCTGGCTCTCCCTTCTACCCCCCCCCAAATCCATTGGCTTTTAACCAAGGTTGATCCCCGCCCCACCCCTTTGCCCTCACAGGGAACCGGGTGCTATAAACCTTGCCTATGGATGTGCCCAGCCTAGGCCCGACTGTTGTTGAAAGTAGGGACGTATTCAAGGAGATAGGGGCTAATCCTTTTTTGGGGGGGGGGCGCCTGGATGTGTAGCTCACTCTCCGCATGCGCAAGGCCACCCTATTGTTTTTCAGCCACTGGCGAAGGGCGGCGGCTGCAACTGGACTGACATATGGGGTGGAGTCCCCCTCCCAACAATCACCCCAAAATTTCTTATCCGCAGGGACTGCTAAGGAGCCCCAAGACAAGGGAGGGCTCATCTGCAAGTCCTACACTAATTCACTTCCCCAAACACACCAACACACCACAGCCACCATCAGTTTCCCCCAGTGCCACACCCCCGGCTCCCATCCACTTGCCTATCATACCTGTAACCCCCACACCAGCTCCAGACCCCAAAAGCCCGCTCACCTTGCGGTCGCTGACTCCCTCTCCCACCGCAATCACAACGCCCGCACCCTCCATCCCGGGGGTGAAGGGCACCGACGGCAGGCGGTCGTACACCCCCTGACGAATCATGAGGTCAGCAAAGTTGAGGCCGCAGGCTCGGACCCGAACGGTCAGCTGTCCCGGGCCCGGGGCCGGAGGGGCAGCCGGACGGCTCTGCAGCTTTACTTTGTCATAGCCACCGAAGCCAGTGAGCACCAGGCAGCGCAACGGGGGCCGCTCCGGGGGAACCTCGTCCTTGGTCGCCTCCGACGTCTGCGGAGCGGCGGGCTCCTTAGACTTTGGGGGCTGTGGAGGGGCATCGCCCCCCTCTCCGGCCGTGGCCGTCGCTGCAATGGCCACCTCCGCTGCCTCCCCCTCTCCGGACATAGCTTTCTCCTGCTCCATCCGTTAGCCGCCGGTCCCGGCTGCACAGCTATGGGGGACGAGCTCCGGGAGCAGGGGAAAGCGAGGCGAAGGGCGCGGGGCGGGGCCGAGGAGGCGAAGACTCGCACGGCGCGGGGCGGAGCCGGCGGCCGAGTTAAAGGGACGCTCGGAGGCGCAGGCCCCTAGTCAATTTCTAATTGACTAATAGGCAGCCTTGCTCCTGCCTGTGTGCCAGCCCAGGCCAGAACAAACGTGCCCTACCCTCAAAGCGCTTACGTTCTAATAGTGTCAACGTTCCACTACCGATTTTAGGGGGCAGCGAGGAAGGCAGGGCATTGTTAGCGTCTTTCAGGGAAGCTGAGGTTAGTGGACAGAGATGAGAATCTATTTTTGTTAGTAATATCACGACAGATTAAGAATCTTAATGGTCATTATTAACAATAATGAACAAATCTATCCCCAAACATTTATGAAGTGCCATTATGGACCCGGCGCTGGGGATAAAAATATGAGGAACGAAGCAATCCCTACCCTACATTCTTATAGCACTTTGGGGTTTTTCTTTAAAACAGAGGTTCTTCGTAACGATGATCAGCTGGGAAAGACAGCTACTCTGCTCCAAGACAATTCCCAAGGACCGGCGGTGAAAAATGCTTCCACCTGCAGAGAGAGAACTGATGAACTCTGAATGCAGATTGAAGCATCATTTTTTTCACTTTATTTTTCTTGTGTGTGTGTGTGTGTGTGTGTGTGTGTGTGTTTTCGTTTGCAACATGGCTGATAGGGAAATCTGTTTTGCATGACTTCACATGTAGAATCGTTATCATATTGCTTATCTTTTTAAGGGGTGAGGGAGAAGAGGGTGGGAGAGAATTTGAACTTAAAATTTTTAAAAATGAATATTTAAATTTTTTACTTATAGTTGGGAAATATTTAATGAAATAAATATAAATATTTTAAGAAAAAAAGAGGTTCTTAACCATTCTTTTGTCATGGAGCCTTTGTCAGTTTGGTGATGCCCATGAAGCTTTTCTTCAAATAATAGATTTAAATGCATAAAATAAAATACATGTGGATTACAATGTAGATTGAAATAGTTATCCAAACATATAAAAAAACCAAAGTTCCTGGACCCTAAATTAAGTGCCTTATGCTTCAAAAGGACCTTACTTTCTTTCAAATCTCAGCTCAAAGGCCACTTTCTACCAGAGACTTTTAGGATCCCACCAGCTGTTAATAGTTAGTGCCTGCCCAAATTACCTTGAAATGATAATATGTATTTTTTAAAATTTTCTTAATTGTATATTTGTTGTACCCAGCCCCAACTTAAACTTGAGGGCAGTCACTTTTTCATTCAGGTATCTGTATCTATAGTGCCTGGCATAGCACCTGGCTTAATAGTACACTTAATAAACGATTGCTGATGTTCACATACATAATTTTAGGCTTTTTAGGGGCATGAGAGGATTTACCAAACCCTGCTAACGGTACCCTGAAGGAAAAAAATCCTACCAGAGGTGGGGAATCTGCAGCTTCAAGGCCACGTGTGGCCTTCTAGGTCCTCAAGTGTGGCCCTTTGACTGAATCCAAACTTCAGAGAACAAATCCCCTTAATAAAAGGATTTGTTTTGTAAAACTTGGACTCAGTCAAAAGGCCACACTTGAGGACCTAGAGGGCCACATGTGGCCTCAAGGCCGAAGGTTCCCCACCCCTGTAGGCCCTAGAACTGAACCCAGGCCTTCCCTACCTGGAGCCTCAACCCAGCAAAGATGTGATTGATTTTATTTGTTATGAGTCCAAGCAATATTTAGTGTTGTCTAGTAGAAAAACTATTTAGATTGGGCTGCTAGTGGGGTAACATAATATAGGAATGCATAAGGCAAAGGGTAGCAGCTGCATAGTTGTATGACTTTAGACCAGGCCTTCACAAACTGTGGCCTCTACATTCCTCCACATTTTTTGAGGGCTGCCTGAAATCCTTTGGCGTGCCACCCTCAGGTCACAGGTTGTGTAGGCCTGCTTTAGACAAATAAGTTTTATCTTCCTCTCCAGTGCCTTGATCTTGTCTCCAAAATGGAGATTAATTCATTTTGCATTCATTAATTCAACAAGCTTGTATAAAATTTGTGCAGATACAAAGATTAAAAAAAAAGTCAGTCTCTGCATTCAAGTAGCTTTTATTTTATTGGAGAAAAACATGTATACAAATTATTTTTTTCAAAGTGTATGTGTGTATGTATGTATGTCATGAAGAAATTTGGGGCAAGGCACTGTAGGAGGTAACATGAGAGCTAGGCCTGAAGGAAGCCAGAAATTATGAAAGGCAGAGGTGAGAAGGGAGTGCCTTCTATACATAATAAATAATACGTGCCCTATAAGATTACTTTTCAGTAAATGAAAATAGGGTCTGAAAATGCTTTGGAAAAGTAAAATAATTAAAATCATCAAAATAAAATCATTAGTGCTAGAAAGGACCTTAGTGATAGATCACCTGCTTGAATACCTGTATCTTGCAGATGAGGAAATGGAGGCTCAGAGAGATTAAGTGCTTGTCCAAGGTCACACGGCTAGTTAGTGACAGAGCCAGGATTGGGGCACCTGGATTTTCTGACTCCCAGTTCAGTACTGGTTCTAAGATCATACTACTCTTCAGAATAATAAAAGTTCACTTGGATGTGGGACTTCATGTTACTTTCCTCACAATCCTGTAAAGCAGTCACTTACACCAAGGTGTAAGGAATATCACCTCTGTTTTACAAACGAAGGTACTAAAGCTGAGAAGGATGAAAATGACTTGTTGAAAGTTACAGAGCCAGTGAGGGGCAAAGACTGAACTCAGATCTTGATTTCATTGACTCCAAGCCCCTTCCTCTTTCCACTATGCCGCAGATACCTCTGTGGGGTAACTATTAGACAAGCCGGTATTATAATTAGGCCCAGACAGGATTCCAAACCTAGCCAGATGTGGTCTGAATTCACCGGACGTTACACCAAAACAGAATTCTTCTTCCTTCGCCTCTCCTCAAATTCACCACCAGAGGGCGCCGCTCTCCAAAATTTTCCAACTGAGCGCGTTGCAGGCAGTGAGTGACCGAGCTATTCCCGCTGCATCCCAGGCCCTATGTGCAGTCACCACTACTCTCCCCTACGACCCCACCTCCTGCCCCCGCCCCACCGCCAAGGAGTTGACCGTGATGTCACCGCCGCCGCCCCGCGCCTTCAGACGCCGCCTTTGTCAGTTACTGATCCTAAAAGCCTGTCCCCCAGCTTAGAGAGAAGGGTACCCTTATTTTCTCTAGCAGCTCCTCCAGGCGAGAAAGAATTGAGGACCGCCCTCCCTTCCCCCCGGACCCCGCAGGTCCCGGAGGTGGACTGTTGCATGCACACGTGGATGCACGCCTTTGGCTGGAGAAGGGCATTTAACCCGTGTAAGGCGCAGACCAGCAGCCTCACCCCCAAGAAAACTTCTCCGGGCCTCAGCGCCCATTCCCCAGACCACCACATCCCCAAGGAAGAAGCTCGCCAATAAGTCCCACCCACCCGCCCCCAAATCTGCAGGCGCCTCCTGCCCTGGCCCCGCCCCTCCGGTCCCAGCCCCTCCCCGTTGCGCTGGGGTGGGAGGCGGGGCCGGAGGCGCGGTTCCCAGGAAGGGGGGCGGAGGCCCGGGGAGGCGGGGGGGGGGTAGGGGGGTGGCTGCCCGGGGCGGGGGCTCGGCGCGGGCCCGGGAGATGCCGGTGTCTACGGCGGCGGCCGGAGCGGCGGCGGCAGCGGCTGCAGCAGCGGCGGCGGCGGCGGCTGCGGGGCCCGGCGGGGGGCCCTGACTGGCGCGTAGCTGAGACCATGGAGGGGCAGAGCGGCCGTTGCAAGATCGTGGTGGTGGGGGACGCGGAGTGCGGCAAGACGGCGCTGCTGCAGGTGTTCGCAAAGGACGCCTACCCCGGGGTGAGGGGCTGGGGACCCGGGGGATGCTCTCCCGGGAGGCGCAGAACCAGGCAGCTGGGCACTAGGGGGCTTCGGGGGTACGGAGAGGAAGTCTGCAAGCTGGAATGATCCGGGCTGGGGGCTCAGGCAACGGGGTGGGGGCTGGGAGGACTGGGGGCCGAGGGACAGGGCTTCGATGCTGAGGTTTAGGGTACCCGGGGGAGAGCCAGAGGAAGGCGATCTCTATCTGGGGAGCCAAGGCAGAGAAGAATGGGGGCTGCAGGGGAGGGGGACCACGGAGGGGCTCTCAGCTCCTCCCTCCTAGGCAGTTCCTAGAGTCCTCGCAACCCTTCTGCCTCCCCCCACCCCCAACCCCCCAAAAAATCCCTGGGCGATCCCATGTCCAAGTCCTTCCTCGGAATGAGTGGGAGGGGAGGAAATGTGGCCCGAGTACGGTAGGGGAGAGGGGGAAAAGGTCCTCATCGTGACCCAGTGCCTCCTGTCCGCAGAGTTATGTCCCCACCGTGTTTGAGAACTACACAGCCAGCTTTGAGATCGACAAGCGCCGCATAGAGCTCAACATGTGGGACACTTCTGGTAACTCCCTCTCCTGCCATCTCTAAAGGACCTGACACCACTCCAAAGCCCAGGCCTCCACTCTAGCTCCAGCTAGCTCAGATCCTAGGAGACCCCAAATGTCCACAGAACAGTTCCATCCCCAAAGGACACTTCTCCCCCCACCCCCCCTACACACACCCTGCTAGTTCCATTCATTCCCTTATAAAGCTTCAACACCTGGGGTGGAAGGTGTAAAGATGGGGTAGGATCTTGTCTGTCCAAAGGGGAAACCAAGTCATGAGGCATAAGTGAGGAGACATTCCAGACTTAAGCTGAGCCCATGCCCAAGAAGATGCAAGATGTTTGGGATATGTGTCTGTGGAACTTAAGGGAAGGGAGTGATTTTTATTTTTGCAACCTTTTTCTTTTGAGATGAGATCAAGCTTGAAAAATTCTCTTAATTAGAGAGTTTGGGGGTCAGGGGCTTGCCCAGATAGTCCAGAACACTATCCCATAATAATTGAAAAGTTCTTATTGAAACCTAACTTCCTTACTTGCTTCCCCTCCCAACTTTCCCCTACCCTCTAAGAACCATGAAGGACAATTCAAGGGCTATTTGACAGTATTACTTATTGATCTTTGGTATTTTCCCATCCTTTGTATTTGTGTTGGAGTAGGGGACTGGCGAAGAAAGGGAGGAGAGTCTCTTCTTTGGCCCTGACTCCTTTTCCTCTACTTTGGTCCCATTGCCCATTTCCCCCCCACCCCCAACCAATCTTCCCCCAGCCTACCTTCTAGGCCTTTTCCTACCAGCTCTGGACCCCTTGTTTCTCTCTCTCCCCAGGTTCCTCCTATTATGACAATGTCCGACCACTGGCCTACCCAGACTCTGATGCTGTCCTTATCTGCTTTGATATCAGCAGGCCAGAGACACTTGACAGTGTGCTCAAGAAGGTGGGAACGGTTGTGGAAAAAATCTGAGTTCCCTCCCTTAGGAAATCTGAATATCCCAGCATCATTAGGACAGACTCCTGTGCTCTGGGGAATAAGAAAGTGACTTCTGGGTTGTCTAGCCTAGCCAGCTGTGCCCAGACATTCTCTGCTCCTTCCCTGAAATTAATCCAGAGACACATTTGGTTCTCCTGAGCCCCAGCCTGTTCTCTGTGGGAGTTTGGGAGCTCCCTGAGCTTAGGGGGTGGGGCTGGGGAAGCCCTGCTCCCCAGCTGCCTTCTCCCCAGGACCTGATTTCCATGAGAAAAGTTTGTGGTGAATAGAGGAAAGAAGTGGGCTCTTGGCCTGCTGGGTTCCTGGGAGGAGGCGGGGGTGGGGGTCTGAATTACTCAGTTCCCAGGGAAAGTTTGGGAAAGAAGGAGTTCCTTAACCCTGGTGGAGGTCAGCCCCTCCCCTGAGGGAAGACGAGTGAGAAGCCCCAAGTTTTTAAGCCTTTCCCTCCATCCTGACTCCTCCATTCTCACACTCTGCTGAGAAGGTTCCCACGACTCTGGCTCCCACCACCTCTCTGCCTTCGAATGCAGAATAGGCGCAGTGATCTTAACTCCTGAAGTCAGAGAGTTAAGATGGGGGGATGATCACTCCCTGTGCCTCCCACCCCTTCCTGGAAACAAACCTATTCTTTACTCCACCAGTGGCAAGGGGAGACCCAGGAGTTCTGTCCCAATGCTAAGGTTGTTCTGGTCGGGTGTAAACTGGACATGAGGACAGACCTAGCAACATTGAGGGAGCTCTCCAAACAGCGGCTCATCCCTGTTACACATGAGCAGGTGCGGTCCTAGCCCTTGCCCTCTGACCCAGTCTCAGCTTGGGCCCCCCAACCTCTGACCCAGCTTAACCTTTGATCCTGGTCCAGCCTGTATCCCACACCTCTGACCCTTTGATTTCCTCTCCCAACTCTTCCCTGATCTGGCCACCATCTCGTTCCCTAGTCCCTTCAGCACCTCCCTACCCCCATACCCACACCAGTGCAGTGTGCTGGGGAGTGTCAGGGGGGTGGGATTGCTCCCCCATACTATTATTATCTCTGTGCTTCCCTCTGTCCCAGGGCAGTGTCCTCGCCCGGCAGGTGGGGGCTGTGTCTTACGTTGAGTGCTCATCCCGGTCATCTGAGCGCAGTGTCCGAGATGTGTTCCACGTGGCCACTGTGGCCTCCCTTGGTCGTGGCCACAGGCAGCTTCGTCGCAGTGATTCGAGGAGAGGCCTACAGAGGTCAGCACAGCTGCCTGGGAGGTCGGACAAGGGGGCTGAGGCGGAGATTCGCAAGGACCGAGCCAAGAGCTGCAGCATCATGTGAGGGGATCAGAGAGGACGGCCCAGACACCCAGCTGAGCCTGAGGGGGAGTCCTGGGGAGGGGTGGTCAAGCTCACTCATGACACCCCCCCTAGGACTCACCCTGATAATCTAGCTTAACCTGGCACAGGGATGGAGATGGATGGGTGGATGGGTGGGATTTTTATGCCCAACACCTCCTACCTTCCCTCTGTCTCTTACTTATAGAACTCTGGGGATGCTAGGAGGGTCCCTGATGATTATATGATCTGGGCACATGCTACACGTAGCCCTAAGGGTGAGCCCAGAGGCATGTGTGCATGGGCACAGGCATGTCCACAGAACATATACACACATGAACATGAGGGAGATGAGGAGTGGCTAAATCCTTGGGTGAAGGTAACCTTCCTGCACCTCCCCCAATATTCATATCATGCCCCTGGTGGTCCCAAAGCCACCCTCACCTCCATTCCCATCACCTAATCTGCTTCTGCTGCTGTTTTCTGACCCCCTAACTCCAGGCCCACATGCACTAAATTCAGGACAAAGGATATGTCCCCATCCAGTTCCCTTTCCCTGCTGCCTTCCTCCACCAACAGGAGACAAATAAAACCCATGTCCATGGAAAGTGGCTGTACTTCAGTTCATTGCATTTTTTAAATCTATGGAAAGAAGCGAGAGGGATGGAAGTTAGATGCCAGGTAGGACTTGCTATTGTTTGAGGCTGCCACAAATGAGAAGAATCTTAGAGGTTGAGCAATGGAAATTAGATCTCAGCTAGGACTTTCTAATATTTGAAGGCACCACAGAGATTTTAGGACATTAATATGTATTGGCAAAAGTAGTCTGCCCCTCCCCTCCCTCTGGCCCCCATTTACCACCACCATAGGAAAAGGAAGCTCTCTGGGGAAAGTGGGCTGACACTGCCCCTCCAGCATTTCCCCCTTTCTTGGATGAGGGAAGAAAAAGTTAGGCAGATGACCCCTTCCCCTGATAAGAGCACGATACACAGCTGAGTCCCTCAGGATAACCACCGCTTTCAGGCAGCCAGGCCTGATTTCAAGTCATGTAGTCATGAACTACAAATCCAACTAACTCTTCTTTGCCAATGCCAGTTCAGGAGCCCCATTTGTCAAGGGGTAAGAGTACTCACCTCTCCCCAGTACTCTCTCTCATCCTCACGGTCTTGGATTCTCTCACTCAATACCCAAGTTCCAAATTTCGATTATCATAGACAGGACAATAAAAATCACTTATATTTCATTTCAACATCTCAGGTTCAGAGAATTAGGAAAACCTGTGATACTATTAGCTGGTTTGGGGGATCTGGCCATTTCTGAGCCCTCTTAGGGAAACACTTCTAAGGTCTGGGCTGGGCAAGGTTAAATCAGTTCTAAGGTTCATAGGATGAAAGGATTTGGAGCTAGAGAGATGTAATTCTACTCTCATTTTATAGATTTTGTAGCAGAGTGCCTGATACATAGGAAGCGCTTAATAAATGCTTTACATAGCTGTCTATAGATAACGAAACTGTGGCTCAAAGAGATTTTTCTCTTGCCCAGGGTCTCATAAGGTAGCCAGTTATTCTAGTTCATAGACAGGTCTTCTAATCTTTTTTCTAATTCATCCCTATTAGGTTGGAGAGTCCTAGGGTGGAAGAGAGAAGCCAGGTGGAAGGGACTGTTATTATAAGACCCAGCAAAGTGATGTCTTTGTGTGTTTTGTTAGGTGTTGGGTTGCACTTTGTCCACCTTTGCTCCCTGGCCCTGGTGCCAAGGATAGCAACTAGCAAAGAGAGGGTGGGGAAAGAACTATGTTGAATTTCTGGGAAATAAGAGGAGAATTTTCTCATAGCAAAAGAAATGACAAAAGGATGGAGAATTGTTGTATACACTAAAAAGTCACAGCTGCATTGATGTCGGTTCTACTAATCCTCTTCCTGGGAGTATTAAGTCTCCATTGTTTTGAGAGGGAAATTCCTTATTTCCATCCCCATCCCCCAGCCCAGGTCAAGTTCCTAATAACAGGGAAACGAGAACAGGCCCACACAGGGTTAGCTATCCTAAGCAGAGACAAAGGTTAGCATCCAGAAGACATCTCCGTCCCTTACCTACAGACCCCACCCTGCCCTGTCTTCCACACTGGCATTCCCAGCTTCCCCCCACTCCCCCAAGGGAGCCCAGGGCCCTAAACTTGCATGTACTCTACTCCCATTCTAGTTCATAGCCAATGTCCTTTTTGTTGAGATTTCTCCCTGGGAATCCGCTCTGAAATTTGTCTTTTAAAATAATTTTCCAATAGAGCATCGGCCCTGGAGTCAGGAAGACCTGAATTCAAATCTGCCTTCAGACACTTGACACTTACTAGCAGTGTGATCCTGGGCAAGTCACTTAACCCCATTGCCTAACGCCCCCAATCCCAAACAAAGAAAGGAAATTTCCAGTCATCTGCCCCTGACTCTCAGGGGCTAGCTTCTGCATTAATGAAAAGCCAGCCCCCATAAACGTAGACACTATGGGTGAGGTTCGGTTGCAGAGACACTGCAAGGACTCAGGAGTCCGAGACAGCTGTTGAGGGGGCTTAAAGGGGTAAGCTTCTATCTTGCTGCCACCCTGCCCCTTCCAGTGTAGCTGAAGGCCTTGGGTTCCAGACCTGGCTGCAATGTTGCTGCCCGGGGTATGGGACTGAAACTTTATCCACTGACCACCCTATGGACCATACCTGGGATGTTCTCTGGAGGTAAGAGGGAATACAGTTATCTGCTTTGTGGCCACAAAGGAAGTAATACAAGATTGGTTTTACTGGCCTACTAACCCAGGTGACCTTCCCTCCCTCTCCATCCACCTCTCCCTTTCCCACCCCTCCCACTCCAATAGTTTTCATCCAGGAAAAGCAAACTCAAAATTTCAATATCAGCCTAAAAAAACATAATGATGAATATAAAACCGCTGGGGGGCAAAACACCAACATTTAATGCATTTTCAATGCTTGCCATCGGGAAATGAATTTTGTATCCTCCTTTACACCTGGGATGCCTGATATGCTCTGAGGTTGGGGGTGAGAGGGCAGACAGATGGGAAAGGAGGAGGGGATAGTGTGTGAGAATGGGGGCGGGGCCAGTTCTCTCTTGCTACTCTGACCACATCCCCCCTCCCCCAAACAGGAGGTGGGGAACCCTGTCACCTAGGATCAGGAGGAAGCACCAGGGGCTGGTTCAGCTGCTGCTTTCCCCACAAATTAGGCATCCTTGTGGAAACAATGTCGCCTCAGTTAATCATTTAATGAAATAAACAGCTAATCAGACTCTGGAGAAGCTGCCACTGTTTCTGAACCTCTGAGACACTTGACTTGCATTAGGAGGGAGGAAGGAAAATGGGGAGGTGGGGGGGGGAGGCTGGAGATTAATTGGGCAGAAGGCAGGCAGCCCTGGGAAACTCCTCTGATAGAAAAGACTGGTTCCTCATCAACCCCCCCTCCACCACCCCACCAGATTTGACACATGGGACAAAACCACCTACTCAGAAATGCAGAGGAAATATTGTAATACTGACTTATTACTGAGGTAATGCTGTAAAGGACCGACAGAAGAGACTTCCCAGAGAAGGCTGATGAGAGAGTGTTGACTTGTGCTCAGATCTGACCCAAGCGGATGGTCTGAGGTTTGCAGGTCTTGCTGCTCCCCCGGAAACAAGGCCCAGAGCCCCTGATTCCTGACACCAGACCATCTTTGCTACGTGGTGTTTCCAACTGTCCTGCTGGGTGCTCCCCTTGTTGCCATGGTACCACACATTCAGCTTATTTCTCTAGTGGTCCATGTCCAGGCTGGAAGAAGGATGGATCATTTCAGGACCACAGATTTAGAACTAGGAGAGACCTCAGAAGTCCTCCAGTCCTTTTTTGTAGATGAAAGAATCCCAGAGAGAGACAGGAAGGCTGGTACAGTGGAAAGAGCCTTTGCTCTGGAGTCTGAGGCCCTGGGTTCAAATCTCACCTCTGATGCTGACTACCTCTTCCACCCTAGGGTAATCTTCTGAACTTCAATTTCCTCATCTATAAAATGAGGGGGTTGAACTAGACGGCCTTTGAGGTTTCCTCCAGTCCTAGATATATGGAAGTGAATAAAAGAGTTGAGAAATACCTTCCCCTGAGCCCCCTGAGTCCCATGCCACAGAGCTCCTACTCTTGTCTGGGGGTACATCTGTGGAAATGGCATCAGGGCAGAATTTAGGTGAGGGACATTGAGTGGAAACTGCTGTCTGTTCCAGAAGCAGCTCTTGTGCAGTGGACAGAATTCTGGGTCTGGAGTCTGGAAGTCCAGAGTTCAAATCTGGCCTCAGAGACTGGCTTGTATGACCCTGGGCAAATCATTTAACCCATTTGCCTCAGTTTCCTCAATTATAAAATGGGATAAAAATAGCACTTAACTTGCAGGGTTGTTGT